TGTATATATATATATATATATATATATATACAGTGGAATATTACTCAGCCATAAAAAAATGAAATTCTGCCATTTGCAACAGTGTGAATGGACCTAGAGAGTATTATGCTTAGTGAAATAAGCCAGACAGAGAAAGACACTCTATGTTGTCACTTACATGTGGAGTCTGAAAAATAGCAAGAATGTATGTATAAAACAAAACAGAAACAGACTCACTAATATAGAGAACTAGTGGTTACCAGTGGGAAAAGGGAAGGGGGAAAGTGCACAACATGGGTATGGGATTAAGTGATACAAATTGTTATATATAAAACAAATAAGTTACAATAATATATTGTACAGCACAGGAAACTATAGCCATTATTTGTAAAAACTTTAAATGGAGTATAATCTATAAAGAATGTTGAATCACTTTGCTGTCACTATGAAAATAATATAATATTGTAAATCAACTGTATTTCAATAAAAACAAATTAAATAAAACAGAAGAAACTTACACCCAGAAGAAACTTACACCATGTGTAAATGGTAGCAATTCACAAGAAGCAGAAAGTTTCTTGGAAGTTTCTAGAGCTGTATGAATTTTCCAGCCAATGTAAAAAGGTACCCATATCTTTTTTAATGTAAAAATAATGTTTGTATTATATACCAATAAAAAATTTAAAAATCCAGGGAGATTAAAGAGAACTAATATAATATGGTAGACACAGAGTCCAGATTTTTTTTTTTATCCTTGGCAGACTGATATACCCTCCAGAGCATGCATGTTTCTGGGTTTTAGAAGCAAAGAATGACAATCTGTTTCCTATATCATTAATTTGATCAAGTGGGAGTGTGTCTGTGAAGTGGAGATAATTTTAAGAAGTCTAAGAGAGATTGGTTCAAGATGGAGGAGTAGAAGGACATGTGCTCACTCCCTCTTGTGAGAACACCAGAATCACAACTGACTGCTAAACAATCATTGACAGGGAGACACTGGAACTCACCAAAAAACATACCCCATATCCAAAGACAAAGGAGAAGATTCAATGAGATGGTAGGAGGGGAGCAATCACAATAAAATCAAATACAATAACTGCTAGGTGGGTGACTCACAAACTGGAGAACAATTATACCACAGAAGTCCACACACTGGAGTGAAGGTCCTGAGTCCAACGTCAGGCTTCCCAACTGGGGAGTCCGACAATAGGAGGAATCCCAGAGAATCAGACTTTGAAGTCTAGCAGGATTTGACTACAGGACTTCAACAGGACTGGGAGAAACAGAGACTCCACACTTCAAGGGCACACACAAAGTAGTGTGTGCATCAGGACCCAGGGGGAAGGAGCAGTAACCCCATAGGAGACTGGACTAGACATACCTGCTAGTGATAGAGGGTCTCCTGCACAACTGGGATGTGGCTGTGGCTCACTGTGGGGACAAGAACACAGACAGCAGAAGGCCTGGGAAGTATTCCTTGGCATGAACCCTCCTGGAGTCCGCCATTAGCCCCACCAAAGAGCCTGTAGCCTCCAATGCTGGGTCACCTCAGGCCAAACAACCAACAGAGAGGGAACTCAGCCCCTCCCATCAGCAGAGAAGCAGATTAAAGTTTTACTGAGCTCTGCCCACCAGAGCAACACCTAGCTCTACCCACTACCATTACCTCCCATCAGAAAGCTTGAACAAGCCTCTTAGATAGCTTTATATACCAGAGGGCAGAAAGCAGAAGCAGGAAGAATTACAATCCTTCAGCCTGTGGAATGCAAAACACATTCACAGAAAGATAGACAAAATGAAAAGGCAGAGGACTATGTACCAGATGAAGGAACAAGATAATACCCCAGAAAAACAACCAAATGAAGTGGAGATAGACAACTTTTCACAAAAAATAATTCAGAACAATGATGGTGAAGATGATCCAGGATCTCGGAAAAAGAATAGAGGCAAAGATCAAGAAGATGCAAGAAATGTTTAATAAAGACCTAGAAGAATTAAAGAACAAACAAACAGAGATGAACAATACAATAACTGAAATGAAAAATACACTAGAAGGAATCAATAGCAAAATAACTGAGACAGAAGAACAGATAAGTGACCTGGGAGACAGAATGGTGGGATTCACTGCTGCAGAACAGAATAAAGAAAAAAGAATGAAAGGAAATGAAGACAGCCTAAGTGACCTTTGGGACAACATTAAACACATCAACATTAGCATTATAGGGCTTCCAGAAGGAGAAGGGAGAGAAAAACTATCTGAGAAAATATTTGAAGAGATTATAGTTGAAATTTTCCCTAACACGGGAAAGTAAATAGCCACCCAAGTCCAGGAAATGCAGAGAGTCCCAGGTAGGGTAAATGCAAGGAAAACATGCCCAGACACATAGTAATCAAATTGACGAAATTAAAGACAAAGAAAAATTATTAAAAGCAACAAGGGAAAAATGACAAATAACATACAACGGAACTCCCATAAGGTTAAGAGCTGATTTCTCAGCAGAAACTCTAAAAGCCAGAAGGAAGTGGTACAATATATTTATAGTGATGAAAGGGAAGAACCTACAACCAAGATAACTCTAACTGGCAAGGATCTCATTCAGAAACAATGGAGAAATCAAAAGCTTTACAGACAAGCAAAAGCTAAGAGAATTCAGCACCACAAAACCAGCTTGACAACAAATGCTAAAGGGATTTCTCTGAGTGGGAAACACAAGAGAAGAAAAGGACCTACAAAAACAAACCCAAAACAATTAAGAAAATGGTAATAGGAACATACATATCAATAATTACCCTAAATGTGAATGGATTAAATGCTCTAACCAAAAGAAACAGGCTTGCTGAATGGATACAAAAAAAAAAAGACCGATATATATGCTGCCTACAAGAAACCCACTTCAGACCTAGGGACACATACAGACTGAAAGTGAGGGGATGGAAGAAGACATTCCATGCAAATGGAAATCAAAAGAAAGCTGGAATAACAATACTCATATCAGATAAAATAGACTTTAAAATAAGGAATGTTACAAGAGACAAGGAAGGACACTACAAAATGATCAAGGGATCAATCCAAGAAACAGACATAACGATTATCAATATATATGCACTCAGCATAGGAGCACCTCAATACATAAGGCAAATGCTAACAGCTATCAAAGAGGAAATCATCCAGACAGAAAATTAATAAGGAAGCACAAGCTTTAAATGACACAATAGACCAGATAGAGTTAATTGATATTTATAAGACATTCCATCCAGAAACAGCAGATTACACTTTCCTCTTATGTGCACATGGAACATTCTTCAGGATAGATCACATCTTGGGTCACAAATCAAGCCTCAGTAAATTTAAGAAAATTGAAATCATATCAAGCATCTATTCCGACCACAATGTTATGAGATTAGAAAACAAGTAAAGGGAAAAACATAAAAAACACAAACACATGGAGGCTAAACAGTATGTTACTAAATAAATCACTGACTAGCTCACTGAAGAAATCAAAGAGGAAATCAAAAAATACCTAGAGATAAATGACAATGAAACATGATGATCCAAAACCTATGGGATGCAGCAAAAGCAGTTCTAAGAGGGAAGTTTATAGCAATACAATCCTACCTCAAGAAACAAGAAAAAAATATCTCAAAACAAGATAAACAGTCTCACCTTACACCTAAAGGAATTAGAGAAAGAAGAACAAAGAAACCCAAAGTTAGTAAAAGGAAAGAAATCATAAAAATCAGAGCAGAAATAAATGAAATAGAAACAAAGAAAGCAATACCAAAGATCAATAAAATTAAAATCTGGTTCTTTGAGAAGATAAACAAAATTGATAAACCTTTAGCCAGACTCATCAAGAAAAAGATGGAAAGGACTCAATAAAATTAGAAATGAAAAAGGAGAAGTTACAATGGGCACCACAGAAATACAAAGCATCCTAAGAGACTACTACAAGCAACTCTATGCCAATAAAATGGACAAACTGGAAGAAATGGACAAGTTCTTAGAAAGGTTTAACCTTCCAAGACTGAACTAGAAAGAAATAGAAAATATGAACAGCCCAATCACAAGAGTGAAATTGAACCTGTGATTAAATATCTTCCAACAAACAAAAGTCCAGGACCAGATGACTTCACAGGCGAATTCTAGAAAACATTTAGAGAAGAGCTAACACCTATCCTTCTCAAACTCTTCCAAAAAATTGCAGAGGAAGGAACACTCCCCAACTAATTCTACAAGGCCACAATCACTCTGCCACCAAAACCAGATAAAAGATACTACAAAAAAGAAAATTACAGACTGATATCACTGATGAATATAGATGCAAAAAATCCTCAACAAAATACTAGCAAAGAGAATCCAGCAAAACATTAAAAGGATCATACACCATGATCAAGTGGGATTTATCCCAGGGATGCAGGGATTCTTCAATATATGCAAATCAATGTGCAACACCATATTAAAAAACTGAAGAATAAAAGCCATATGATCACCTCAATAGATGCAGAAAAAGCTTTTGGCAAAATTCAACACAAATTTATGATAAAAACTCTCCAGAAAGTGGGCATAGAGGGAACCTATCTCATCATAACACTGCCCATATTTGACAAACTCACAGCAAACATCATTCTCAGTGGTGAAAAACTGAAATCATTTCCTCTAAAATCAGGAACAAGACAAGAATGTTCACTCTTGCCACTATTACTTAACATAGTTTTGGAAGTCCTAGCCACAGCAATCAGAGAAGAAAAAGAAATAAAAGGAATACAGACTGGAAAAGAAGAGGTAAAACTGTCACTGTTTGCAGGTGACATGATACTATACAGAGAGAATCCTAAAGATGCCACCAGAAAACTACTAGAGCTAATTAATGAATTTGGTAAAGTAGCAGGATACAAAATGAATGCACAGAAATGTCTTGCATTCTTATACACTAACAATGAAAGATCAGAAAGAGAAATTAAGGAAACAATCCCATTCACCCATTGCAACCAAAAGAATAAAATACCTAGGAATAAATCTACATAAGGAGGTAAAAGACCTGTACTCAGAAAACTATAAGACACTGATAAAAGAAATCAAAGATGATACAGACAGATGGAGAGATATATCATGTTCTTGGATGGGAAGAATCAATATTGTGAAAATGACTATACTACCCAAAACAATCTACAGTTTCAATGCAATCCCTATCAAATGACTAAAAAAATGGCATTTTTTTTACAGAACTAGAACAAAAAATCTGAAAACTTGTATGGAGACTCAAAAGACCCCAAATAGCCAAAGCAATCTTGAGGGGAAAAAATGGAGCTGGAGGAATCAGACTCCCTGACCTCAGACTATACTACAAAGCTATAATAATCAAGACAATATCATACTGGCACAAAAACAGAAATATAGATCATTGCAACAGGATAGAAAGCCCAGAGATAAACCCACACACCTATGGTCAACTAATCTATGACAAAGGAGGCAAGGATATACAATGGAGAAAAGGCAGTCTCTGCAATAATTGGTGCTGGGAAAACTGGAAGCTACATGTAAAAGAATGAAATTAGAACACTCCCTAACACAATACACAAAAATAAACTCAAAATGGTTTAAAGACCTAAATGTAAAACTGGACACTATTAAACTCTTAGAGGAAAACATAGGAAGAACACTTTTTGACATAAATCACAGCAAGATGTTTTTTGACCCACCTCCTAGAGTAAGGGAAATAATAACAAATGTTTCCTAATTAAACTTCAAAGCTTTTGCACAGCAAAGGAAACTATAAACAGGAGGAAAAGACAACCCTCAAAATGGGAGAAAATATTTGCAAATGAAGCAACAGACAAAGGATTAATCTCCAAAATATATAAACAGCACATGAAGCTCAATATTAAAAAAACAAACAACCCAAACCAAAAATGGGCACAAGACCTAAATAGACATTTCTCCAAATAAGACATAGAGATGTCCAACAGGCACATGAAAAGCTGCTCAACATCATTAATTATTAGAAAAATCTAAATCAAAACTACAATGAGGTATCTCCTCACACTGGTTAGAATGGGCATCATCAGAAAATCTGCAACAGCAAATGCTGGAAA